TAGCATTTGTTGATGCTGAAAATCAGTTATACTGGGATCCTGGTCTAAAAAAAATATTAAAAACGCAAAACACACCTGATGCGAATTCTTTGCTCTTCTTTTACTATAAGCAGAGTTAACAGACCCTGTTGTATTTTCTTGTAATTTATTAAAAGAAGGTACACCGCCATCTTGTGCCGACTAAACTGACTTGAACGCACCTGACGTCGTAATTACGACTTGTCAACTCGTAAGTACGAACGTCCCAGGAGGACTTGAACGCAGCATTAGATAAAATGTTGCAATTACCTTTTTATTTTTAATTCCATGGCAGAAAAAAAACGCAATTGCAAAATTTGAATTCTGAGGGGGAAAAAAAAGTGTCTAAATTGCGAAATATAAACGTAGATTTTCGCGATGTGAACTGAATTGCGAGAAAAAAAAGTCAGATTTGCAAATTTATAGCTTGCACTTAAAATTTTTTTTTTTTAGAATTGCAAGAAATAGTCAGAATTCTGAGATTAAAAGTTGCAATTACCTTTTTATTTTTAACTCTGTGGCAGAAACAAAAAAAATGGAATTGCGAGTGTAAAATCAGAATTCTGAGTAAAAAAAAAAAGTGTCTAAATTGCGAGATATAAACTTAGATTTTCGAGATGTGAACTGAATTGCGAGAAAAAAGTCAGATTTGCAACGTTGTAGCATGCAATTTAAAGTTTTTTTTTTTTTCAGAATTGCAAGATAGTCACTATATACCTTTTTTTTATCCGATGGCAGAAACAGGCTTCCATAGTAAAATAACACTAATGAAGAGAAAAGATCCGGCACTATAAGAACGCTAAGTCTGTTTCAGCATTTCAAACCACAGAAACTTGTGTATGTGCTCTCTTTCTTTACAATATTATATTTTTATATCCAAGACAAACTTAAAAAAAATGAGGGCAAACATTATGGATACACTTTTTTATTTGGTCATATAATATAAATGAAGATGTAAACATAAAAAATCTTAAGGAATAAGCAAATTTACAGTCTCCCATGAATATAAAACAATACACGCCTGAACATCCTGGATAACTGATGAAAACTGACTTCAATGCAAGCAGTTCTAGGAAAAATTATGGAAAACCATTTTGACAGGAAATTGCTGCCATGTTTCATTTAGCCCCATCCATGTATGTGATATGATTATATTACAAATACATCAAATGCAATGAAAGCAGTACTGGAAAAAGTCCCTGTAATTCACTTATTTACCATGGTGCTGATAGTCTGCGTGTCTCGGTGTCACTAGATGCAGAGGTCTCTGTATTGAGACGCATTCGATGTAAACAGCATCTCTCTCAGTGTTGAAGCCTCAGTCATCGCAGGTTGATGGCAAGGGCGATGGTGACTATGATCCCACAAATCATCAGGAAAGGCAGCCAGGTCTTCAGAAACCCCACGAAGCTGCAGAGGAACAGAAGCCTTCGAATGAGCCGAGTAGATAAAAACATGAGCCTTTTAGATGTTAAAGGGATCAATTCTGTCATCGGTTACTCGGCCTCATGTCAGTCCAAACCCATTTCTAAGCAGGGTTTCATGAAGGTAAAATATAAAAAAAATACAACTTCCTACCAATCTGGCTTGAATAGCCCTGTTTCCAAACACTAGAATATGAAAATAACTTTTACTGTACCTTCTGATCACACTGCAAAAAGAAAGTTACGCTCTTGTTTTGTTTTTCAGTGCAAATGTCTAAATTCTTCAGTCTAAAAAGTAAAAAAACACATATCTGCTACACTGCAAAAAAATGATTCTTAGTGTTTTTGTATAAATATCTAAACATACTTGAATCAAGATGTATTTACTTGAGAAGCAAAATGACTTTGAAAAATGTATCAAAATTTTGTTAGTTTTTGTGTACTACAAGAAAAATTATCTGCTGATGGGGTAAGAAAAAAAAATTAATTCAAAGGGGAAATTATGGGGATTATTTTTCTTACCCCACTTGCAGATAATTCTTGTTTGAAGCATAAACTAAAAAATTTTTGATAATTTCTTTTTTTCAGAAAACAAGTCATTCTGCATCTGAAGCAAACATATCTTGATTCAAGAATGTCTAGATATTTGTACAGAAAACAAGACACAAATACTGAGGAAGATGTTCATTTTTTTGCAGTGCATGCAACATTTAATGCCACGACTTCAGCTCCGATTTAAGAGCTTTTTAAGCCTTATTTTGTGGAAGGGAGAATTAAGACCCTTTTAGGATCCACAGAAACCTTGCTAAGGCAGAGTGTCATGGGTTGCATAAATTATGACAGAATTTTCATTTTTGCCTGCTTTAAAACGCTGAATTGTGAGGATAATCTTACACAGAAACCCACAATCCAGCTGTCTCCCCAGAAGCCCTGATTGTGTGCGTCAGGAGTTGTGATAAATCATTCAGTTAAAGGTAAGGACACACTGACTTCTGAATGCTAAGGCTGTGTGTCTTTCACAGAGAAGGCAATCCCAGAATGCACCGAGCAGATGCAACAAGGGAATTTTGATTATAAAACAGGGTTTCTGCGGGTCTTAAAAAGTCGTGGCATTAAATGTTGCATGCACTTGAAAAAAAAAAAAGATGCAAAATGAACTTAAGAAATCTTATGAAAAGTTTATGCTTAAAACAAGAACAAATATCTGTCAGTGGAAAATAAAAACATGTTTTCCCTTAGAATTAAGTAGATTTTTCTGAACCCACTGGCAGATATTTGTTCTGTTTTTTTTTTTTTTAAATAATAAACTTAAAATCAATTTCTCATAAAACGTGACTTCTCATCATCTCATGTCACTTTGCTTCTCAAGTAAATGGGTCAAAGACTAAAAGGGTTTAAGCATAAAAACAATAAGTGTAATACTGCTTTAAATTGTTGTTGTTTTTCCTAAAAAAATTTGTAAAAATTTTCTGTTTAATTTAATTGCAATTTTGTTTTTGTTTTTCGGAGCAAAAAATAAATATTATACATTTTCCCCTGATTTACAGAAGAGAGCCATTAAAATGTCATTCAGTGTAACAATCTTGTCAGGCATATTTACAACAAAAATCATTTTATGACATATTAAAAGACTAATTACTTTCACCCCAAATACTAATTAGTTGTAATTTTACATTTTTTAAATGGTTTTGCCCATTTGTCAGTAAGAATTTTTTACTCATTTAAAAC